TGTGTGTGTGTGTGTGTGTTAGTGATAGACAGATATAAAGACGGAGATAACATCTAAGGTGGTTTGGACATATAGATCTAATGAGAAAAGGGAAACAACATCCAGTCTTCAGGGCCTTCAACATGAGATTCGATGGCTTTTAAGGCAAAAGAAAAGCCGAGAAAAAGATGGATCCACGGAGTCAGAGAACCCCTCCGTAAGGTACAACGTAACGATCCTAGCAGCTAAACAACGGACCCACGTCCGTCAAGTGCATGTCCATGGACACCTTAAGATATACTTGTTTAAATTTCTTCTTTGTTTTATCTTGATTCCGTATTTCGCCACTTTAAAAAAGGGTATCACACTATTGTCCTCTCTACAAGACAGTACATATACCTACACATTGACACAAATACATACACACACACACACACACACACACACACACACACACACACACACACACACACACACACATATATACACATTAGATATGGTTGTCCCATAGATTTGATATTATGTTTATCAGCTCTATGGGTTGTACTTGAAGAAGACATATTCGCCGCAGATTTAGTCCACTTGGCGCTCATATGACCTTATGCAGTTGCGAGCGCCGTAAAACCTCTACTACTCGTAAAAGAAACAAGATTAAAAGTAGGTCCGAGAACGCGATTCGACGCCCTTTCAGATCTAACTCTAATTGCTTACACGTTGCGCAGTTCAGCTGGCTTACACTACACAGCATCTCTCGGCTGTTTACAATCGTTACAAAGATCAACTACCAAACTTAAGCAAATTAATCTTATTAATAAAATCAAACGGTATATTGTTTTTTTTAAAGTAGAGGTTTTACGGCGTTCGCAACTGTATAAGGTCATATGTGCGCCAGACGATTAGAGGTGTTACAAAGAGAGTTACAAACATAAAAAAGAAGGGGAGATAAGGATGATAGATGTTTCATAGGAAAGAAGAAGCAAACCACACCAGAGCACCCACCTACCACCCACAACGGTATGTTTACTGCTTGGATAATTCACTTTCTTCTCAGTCTGCTGGTTAGGGCTTACTAGGTTTAATAAGTTGGAGTGAAGTTCTGGGGAAGTTTGCTATGCTGAAAAGTTGGATGACAAAACTTTCTGTGTGTGTATAGTAGAAATAACCTTCCGGATACCAAAGAATTAACCCCTTCCCCCCCCCAAAAAAAAAAAAAAAAAAAGAAGAAGGAGAACAACAACAACAGCAGCAGCAACAACAATAACAATAACAACAACAATAAGAAGAAGAACAATAAGAAAACAAAGAAAAACAAGAACTAAACAACAAAAGGGGTCTCTCGTGGCACAGAGGTTAAGGTGTTCGCCTCTCATTTAAAGGCCACAGGTTCGAATCCGGGTAGCGAAAGAAATTTTTTTCCCTTGAGATTGTCTCTTTTCAACTCCTTTCCTGCCCTCTGGCAGTGTTCTGTCGTCTGCTTTCGTCTCCACTTTCTACCCCACCCCCTCACCTCCTTTGCCCGCTTCTCTGGGCTCCTGACTCTTTCTGCAGCCTTTCTACTGCTATTCCTTACTGCTGTCTTTCAGCTACACCTCTGATTTTCTGGTAGGGCGAAAAATCTCGGAGGTCCCGAGTGCAAGTTGCTTCGTCAAAGATCCCCTGGTGCTCTAAAATCGATAAGAGTTGGCTTCGGCCGCCACCCGCGCAAATTCAAAATTTACAACCAACTGAAAAAGTTTAATGTGTCCCGAGCGCTCATATGACCTTATGCAGTTGATTTCACCGTATAACACTCACCAAAAGAAAGAAACTACAAAAACAACACAGAAACAACACAAAACTAAATGCAAAAAAGAAACATAATAACAAGAGTACCAAACAACCTCCATTTCATTCCCATTCATGGGTTCAAACTTAAACTCTTTGAGTTTGAGGACGTAGTTAGCACACACACACACACACACACACACACACACACACACACACACACACACACAGACGCACGCACACACACACAACATATATGTCCGTTCGTCATAATCAGTCTGAAAGACAATGTTGCGGCACATTTCGAACCACACGTTTGCATATTTCACATTATGCATACTGTTGCCTGCTCTTTTAAGTTTCAGATAAGGAAAAGAGGATAGGAAAACCAGGGTGAATAACGAAGTTGTACTTATTCTTTTAAAAAAATGCCCCTACAAGACCATGTCTTCAAACGTTGACGAATGACCAGAAAGTGCGTTACCATGAGTGAAAAAAAATAAAGAAAAAAGAAAAACGGTGGTCCGTTATTTTTGACTCAAGAGATGGATTGACGGTACTGTAGGGGTTCCGTCCCCGCTGCCTCCACGCTAAATTTAAGACAACGGTGAAGTCCTACGTCACGCCAACGTACGTTACTTGAGTTTTAATTAATGAAACTAATGACACCCATAAACTCTTTCTCACCTGTAGAGGCACCAAGTGCAAAGTACATGGACAACGACACTACTGTTTTTGTTGATGTTTTTTGTTGGTTGTTGTAGTTGTTGTTCTGCTGTTTTGTTTGTTTTGTTTCTTTCTTTTTAAAATTTTGTATTCAAGTCTCTACATCAATGACATGCTCTTTTTGTGGAGTTCTATGACAGAGAGTGGGTTGTTCATGACGCACATAGCTTTACTTTATTAAACAGGCCTGTTTATCTCTCGACTCTTATCTATCTTTTGACAAACGGCTTTTAATTAAAAAAAAAACCCACCCTGTGTTGTACGCCCACAGTTCAACCTGCTTTAACTGTCCAAGACAATAACTTGTAAAAAAGCCCACTTTGCAACCCCCCCCCCCCGCGAGTTTTTTTTGGTGTGTATACCGTATCCTAATTAATCTGTCAAAGACGTCAACCTGTCTAAGACAACAACCCTTCTCCTCAACAATGAGAGGTGTACAGGGCGATTTCGACTGCTTTTCAAGCGGCAACATTATAGTTGTTGTTGTCCCCTTTAAGACTGGTACAACTTTTATCACCACCACTACTTCTAATGGTCTTCGAACCTTCAACCCCCTTTTGTATCTTTAAAGAATAATCATCAAGAATAAGATTTAAACAAATGAATGAATAAATGAATACACAAAAAAATGTAAAAATCAAAATCAAAGTTGTAATTGATAAAGATGAAACTGACGATAACAATTAATTACACAACAACAACAACAACAACAACAACAACAACAACAACAACAACAACAACTACTACAACTATCTCACTCCTTACCCCCCCCCCCCTCTCTCTCTCTCTCTCTCTCTCTTTCCTCTCTTTCTCTCTCTCTTATCTTCCCTCTGTTACTCTGTCTCTCTCTCTGCGTCTCACTCGGTCTGTCTGTCTGTCTGTCTGTCTGTCTGTCTGTCTGTCTGTCTGTCTGTCTGTCTGTCTGTCTGTCTGTCTGTCTGTCTGTCTGTCTGTCTGTCTGTCTGTCTGTCTCTCTCCCCCCCTTCTCTTAACAGTTTCACCAATAGCCCCAGCACACACTAGAACTCTTCTGGGAAGCAAACAGTGCAAGCAGCCGATTAAGTGATCAAACACTAGCAAACTGGCACAATATAATTTTGCTATCCATAACTCGATACCCATTTCCACCTGGGTGAAGTGAGGGACATTCATGTAAAGTGCCTTTCCCAAGGCCACCACGGCGAGTCACTGAAGGGGTTCGACCCCACTATTTTTCGATTACAAGCCAAATAGCCTAACCACTAGACCATCGACACTTTTCAACAACATTGCGGCTATACTACTGATGGATACCTCCCCACTTCCGGTGATAATTGTGCTGTGCGTGTGCCATAAACCTGGCTACCGAGGACTGTGGACTTAATCTGTCCTGTGCAAAGACTTCAATGATACTATCTTAGGTTGAACACTGTCATGGCTGCCCAGTGACTAAAATTATAATTATAATATCCTCATTCGAGCGCTGTCATGGTCACCGCTCTTAGCTCTCTATAAAAACTTGGCTGCGCTATTTTGTTTTTGTTTTGTTGTTTTGTTGGTTTTGATGGTTTGCGGCGAACGCAACTGCATAGGATCCGGTCATACAAGCTTATGGGACACTTTAAGTGACTTGCAGATGGGACCTCCGAAATTTTTTCACTCTTATCCAAGAATGCTAGATGTTTGATCTTACCTACCCTAAGTCCAAGGGTGTAGCTGAAAAACAGTGGTGAAAAGGAACCATGTGTAGCAATAGAAAGAGCCATGAGCCTAGAGTGGTGGTGGTTTGGGGGGGGGGGGGCAGAAAGTGAAAATGACAGCAGATGACAGAACCTGATTAGAGAGCAGGAAAGGAAGTGAAAGGAGAACAATTTAATTTAGAGAAGAAACTTTTCTTCGCTGTTAGAAAACACCAGTCACTCGATAGTCGAATGCGCACGAAATCGTCCACTCCTTGCACTTAATTTGGTTCTAGATAGAGTCAACAAATGACGCGCTCCATGGTCAAAGGGAATTATATTACGTCAGAGTACAGTCTTGGATAATCTATACGTATTATATTTTGTGATAGTTCGTCACTTTTGCAGCCTAAAACTTCCGAACCACTTAACTTTCGCATTTGACAAAATTAATGGTCGTTCGGAATCATTTAAAGGGTGCAGGTTTATTGAGGAGCCCGAAGTCACTGTAGTCTATTTTTCAGTTTTTCATTAGTTTCGTTTAGATCTAATCTTGGGAAAGTCCGTCTTCTTGTAAGCCAGTGAGGTTTCCGTTCACTAGCCGTACGCACTGTTCTTGTCCTTTGAAATTCAGGAGTGTACAACCACAAAGCAAAATAGAGAATCAATCTAGACATCTATTATATATTTGGCAACTTGGAAACACATGTGTCACTTTTCTCTCAAGATTAATTGCTCCATTCCAGTAGAGTGTATGATAGGCCAATGACTTTCAGTTGATGTTAATGCACCGGTCATTCCTTTCATCGAAAGGGGGCCCAGCTAGTAACTTATAAGATACAAATCTATGGTTCTGCGTGGCCACCACAGCTCTCAAAAGGGAAAGTTTGACCCGTTTATGGTGTGGGCAAGGCATTTACGGTGCCATAAGCTTTTGGACAAACGAGGCGACAGGAATATTAATATAAAATTTACGGTTCCATTATGACCTTCGGTCAATAGTGTAGTTAGGACTTTGTATTATTCTTAGAGGGAAGTCAGAAAAGGGGGGGGGG